TTTTTTTTCATGTTATGTGTTTTGATTTAGTAAATGGCTCAGCTCTTTGTTGATTCTTAAGGTGTTTGTACTTTACAATTTTTAAATTTTGATGTGATTACACCTTTATTACTGGTGTATAATAGTTGTGATCTTCTTTCAGATTGATGACACGGATGCCCTGGAAGATGTCCATTCTCTGCTTACTGATGTTCCTCCTCCTCCAGGTGAATGGGAAGCAATCACTGTTGAAATACAGCTGGTTTTGTGTCAGTGTTATAGACTGTAATTATTATAGCACTAACCTTAGGGTTTTATTATGCTGTCACATTCTGTCATGTGCTTTCTTCTGGTCTTAAAACACATAATTTAAAAATGTTTATATAGAATTAAGGTGGAAATGATTTTAAAATCTTTCATCTTTCTTGTGGTGTGGAGTGTCAAACCCCAGAGCCTTGTGCCTGCAAGGCAGGAGCTCCAGAACAGCCTCATCTGCAGCCACTAAATCCTTTTGTCTTTGTAAAAGACAAAATCGTAGAATGTACTTGAAGGGTTTAAATTCAGTGTCAGTTGTTTTGGGGTGGTACCGGGCGTTGAACTCAGGGCCTTGCACTTGCCAGGCAGGCGTTTGTGCTGCCGCTAAGTTATATCTCTGGCCCTTAAAGTGTTTAAATTTTCATGAAGGTACAGTGGCTTACAGTAAAAGAATGATAGGAATAAAAGTTAAATTTCATGTAATAAGTGGAAAAATGATACTAGTATGCTAATCAAATTGTTTCATATATTTTACTTGTAATTTATTTTGGCAGGTTTTTATAGTTGTAATACAGAAATTATGCCTGGTATAAATAACTGGACATCAGAAATACAGGTAAGCATGGTATTAGTTTTAAGTAAATGCCACATAAATTTTAGTAAGTTTTATCTAAATACAATATCTATTTTTTACTTCCTTATGGTAATGAAAAATGCTATTCTTTTTTATACCACATTAGTTATGACTCATCTGGCAGTTCTGTCCAGTGTGACAGTATTTAGTTAACAAGAAAATGTGTTGTTTCCTCTCCCCATATTTAGATGTTCACGTCGGTGAGAGTAATCAGGTTAAGCAGTCTTAACCTGACTAATCAAGCTCTCAATAAGAATTTTAATGATCTGTGTGAAAACTTGCTCAAGGTAGGAACCGTTTAATTAAGTTTTATGTAAAAGTCCTCTACCCTGATGATGAAATTATAGGAGATAATTATATTGTCTGTAGCACTTTACATAATTAATTTGTCAACCTTACCCTTGTTATCAGGTGAGTATGATCTCTTTTGAAGTATCATACTATAAAAGAAAAAGTTTAAGAGCTTAACATTTAATAATATATCTGTACATTTTTAAAAAGCCTATTATATTTTATTACTTACTGACAATTATTAAATCCTTTTCTCCATTTAAGTATTAAGAATATAACCTTAATGTAAGAATAGACAAAACAGAAGTGGACATTTTTGTTTTATCTTTTGATTGCCATAATATAGTATAAAGAAAATCAGCTTTTATACATTTTAAATCAAGTAAGTAACATTGATACTATTTTCTATTGTGTAGAGCCTATATTTTAAACTCCGATCTATGATTCCCTGCTGCCTTTGCCATGTAAATTTCACTGTATCGCTACCTGAGGATGAATTAATTCAGGTAATTAAGAATCAGTCTATTATTAAAGATGGTTTCTAGATTTTATCTGATGTTTTAGTATTATAATTTTGTCATAAATAAACACATACCATTTTCAAAATGTTTTAAAACACATTTAGTATGAATCAGGTCGTTCTTTTCATTTCTCTGAACTCTGGTTATCTGAAGATGGGTTTGGAAGTCTTCCAGAAGACATAGAACGGGTACTATAATGGGAGTACCCATTATGAGGGATTTTGCAGTCTCCATCTTTTAGAGAAAGCCCTTGACCTTTTTCTGGAATGTCTAGCTTTAGCTATCTATGCTAGCCTTAGTTTAGTTTGAATGTTTGGGTAAATATGTGCAATTCTGGTTGAGGATCTTAACCACGAAAGGCAGGCTAGCCAGTTGTATAAGTTGTTCTGTAGTGCTGAAAGATTCTAAGAAACTTAAGTTTTGTAATGATTATTGTGCTAATGACTACTGTTTCTATAATTCCAGGTTACAGTCACAGCAGTTGCAATAACTTTTGACAAAAATCAGGCTTTACAAACCACAAAAGCCCATATTGAGAAGTCTCTACAAAGAGGTAAACTTTGATAGATGAGAAATACTTTAATATTATAGCTCATTAATAAAATATAGAGGGAGATAAATAAGCAGCTTGGTTTTTGAAGAGATATTTAACACTTTTTTATGTTTATCTAAATAGATATACAAATATGGCTGCCTTGATTTTTTTCACATATGATTAGATGGCATTTACATGAGGACTGCTGCTTTTAGACTTAGATTATAGTGTATTAACTCAGCAGTAGTTTAGGGGCTCCTACACAAGATTGCTGAGAAGATCTTCAAGGTACCTGAGAATTTATCATTGTAGCAAACAAAACTGTGTGCCTTGTATTTGCTTATTTCCAGAATTGTATTCAACCATTTCTCAGAGGTGTTTTTATTCCAATAAAGTTTAGGAAGTAGTATTTTTAATATATTTTAAAGAAGCGTAAATTATTAAAACTAATGAAAAACGGCTAGAGAGGAATGTAATACTTTCTGATGATTAAGTGACTTACGAGTTAAAATATTCATGCTTAAGCCTAACCGCTGTAAAATTGATTGCATTCTACATCTATAACGTTGGTAAGATTTGAACATTGCAGTCATGTCAGATGGATTAAATGATTGTGTCAGGTGTTTTTCAAAGGTGACAGCTGTTGGGTCATAGAAATGAGTATAGATAATAGTTACTATTGCATTGCTACTGTTTTCAAACCACTATTCAAAGTGATTTAGAGGCATTCATCTTTTAAAGTCCACAACCATCCTATCAAGGTAGGTAGCGCCCCACTCAGCACCATTCAGGTGAAGGGTGAGCAGGAGAAACCAGGGAAAATGCAGCCAGGATAAAGTGGAATGAGGCAGAGGAAAAGCTCCGCATGAAGTGCATACATCGTTACAGGTTCTTAATTTAAAAAAATTAACAATCGGACATTCCTAGATAACAGGTGTTTCTCTTGTTTCTCAGCCTCTGCAGACACCGAAGAACTCCTGCAGTTTCCCCTGGAGCTGTGCTCAGACTCTCTTCCTTCCCATCCTTTTCCACCAGCTAAAGGTTGGTTACACAGCGCAGATGCCAGCACAAATCCCAACTCTGTTGTAGGCAGGCTTTCATAATTCTAAGATTTATCTGTTACTCCTTCATTGTGTACAGTGTTCAGTAATGGGAGAAAGTAGCATCCATCTTGATTTCTTAGTAATTTCAGCATAAGCCTATTAAGGGAATTTTTCCTATGATATTTGATTTTTATATACCAAAAGAATTTCCAGCATAATGGTTCACACATAGAATATTTAATAAATTTTTCCAGCAATATTTGAACCGTTAGAAAATGTGGGGTTTTTCTTAGATAGGAGAATGCTTGTGTAATCTGAGCGAGGCAGAAGTGAGTTCCCTGCCTAGTGTATGCTTTCGCTGTAATTAAAGAGCATTGTTTTGTAAGATACCTGCCAATTTTTCAAATGCAAGATAATTATCCCTTAATAGAAATTAATTTAATTTTTATCTGTATAGTCTATGAAGAAATGTGGGAGGCATTTTTTTATTTAACTGATTTTGATGCATTTATGACTTTTCAAAACTATTGTGCCTTATTTTGTTACATATTTAATAAATATCATGTGTAGTTTTTCTAAATTTTTGTCAGAAATGATGCTTTTGTTGTTTAAAACCATTCAATTACTCTTTTTTTTTTTTGTTTCCTATATTTAGAACAGGGTCTATAGGGTCTACCACGTAGATCAGACTCGTAGTGATTCTCCTGTTTGCAGTCCCCAAGCTCTTTGATTACAGGCGCGCACTACCACACACAATCTCAATCGCCATCTCAACACGCCCCCGGGTGTGGGGCTGGCACGGCAGGCTGAGGATTGAACCCTGGCTGCTGTGCTCTGCCTAAGCAGGCTCGTTAGTCCGCTGAGCTATGGACTGACTCTCTAATCTTTATATTTTATATTAGTGAAGTTATTTTGATTCCTACTTGTTAATTATACTAAATTATGTATGAAGCAGAATAGTTTTATATTTATATTCCGTATATATTAGTAGAATCTTCACTAACTTAGTACAAGCCTATGTATACAAAATGGATATTGTTTCATTCTGAAAATTAAAAGGAAAGATATTGGGGCTGGGGAAACAGCTCACCACTCTAAGCAGTTGCCTGGCAAGTGCAGAGACCTGGGTTAGATGCCCAGTACTGCGTACTCTGCCAGCCCTGGAACCCCAGACGTGTTGTGCCAGCCACTGAAACTGGGCGTGGTGGCACAACCCTGTAATCTCAGCACTGCGGAAACTGAGGCAGGAGGGTCAGTAAGAGTCCAAGCTGTGTAGTGAGACCCTATACCAAATAAATGAATAAGTAAAAGATTTTTAAAAAGAAAAGGTATTTTTAGATTCTCAGCTTTCATACTTAGTAAATGTGGTCATCTTGCCTTTTTGTCATCACATAAAATCCTAATTTAGAGCTCTATAGAGAGTTTTAGCATTTCTCAACTTCCTTGAGAGAACCAAAAGGAATAAATCAAAATCAAAGGTAATCTTAAATTCAGATTTCTGAATTAAATATAAAGTTAAACAAAAAGCATTTCATTTCTCCCTACTTTGAAATGGGGCAAAACCCCTTAAGACCTACTCAACAAAAACTGTTGAACAGTGCTAATCTCTAGGACTAGCTGTTGGTGGAGTTGAGGTCTGTAGTAGTGCAGTTTTACCATATTCTTAAAACCTGTTAAATTCTTCAAAGGGTTAGATTTAAGCTCTCTTTCAAAATGTTTCAAAGGCAATTGTAACTAATACTTATGTGGTCATTAGTGCAAAATGATACTCTGAACTGAAGAACAAAGTAGGAAACATTTGAGTAGGGTAAGTTGTATTCAAGCCGTATGTAAAATATTTGCAGCTGACTTTAGTTGCAGTGGAGTAAAAAAACAACAGATCTCTCTGATAACCTGTGGGAATTTAGAGTTATCGTGTATAAAATATGGAAGGGTTAAATTTTTCTCTGGTCTTTAAAATTTTGTGATTCATTGGGTTTCTGTGTCTCAAATAAGTGCTCATATTATTAAACATAACTGAATTACTGCCTGGGATCATACATAGCTTCTGTAATTGTTAAAGTAGTTGCTTCAAAGAAGCTTCTGACTAATGAAATCAGTAAGTTTAAACTCTGTTCCTCTAAACCACACGGGATTTCCGGGGTGCCTCAGGGTGGGAGGGAGGAGAGGATAGAAGCTAGGTCTATGGATGCTCTGCCTCGGACTCGGAACAGCTTCACCTCAGTGGCTTGTACACACTTCATGTGTTATTTGAAGAAAGGGCTTTAAAGTTTGAAAACTACATAACCAGACCATGCCTCCTTTATCATCACCATCACAGTGTATCAGTTTTGTCACGTTCAATACTAATATATATGTATAATTTCTTATACTAAATACTTTACTGCAACATGCTTTTTCTTAAATGTTAACATTCCGAAACCATCAGTAAACAGAAGTGTATGTGCCCCTTTTCATAAATAGCTTTATAAATTGTGGTTGTGTTGCATGCTTATTTATTCTTTCTTCCTCAAGTCCTTTCAGGAGAGCAGAGGGTAAATATGTCTTTAGAAATTACTTCCAAGTATTTTGGGAGATTTGTGGGTAAGATGGGTTTTGTAAAGGTCTGAAATATGTAGCATTAGAATCTTGTTATGTATGTGAGTAATATGCTGTTACGTGACAGTGTTAAATGGAAAACAGAATTATCTAAAATTCAAGCCTAGCAAGTGGTAGAAACAGGAGAGAGAAAGGTAAGAGTGTTTAGAGTAGATGCTCAAAAGTCGTGTCTGTTTTATATGCAATTACAGGAGACTTAAAGGTCAATACTGATTTTGGGAAATGAATGTATAGTTTTTATATAGTTTTGTTTATTGGCTAGCTATGCTGATAGCTTTTTGTTTTTTAAATCCAGTAACTGAATTCTAGTTTATGTTTGATATTTCATGTTCTTATCACAAATGGATGATTTATAAAATTTACTTCCTTTTATTTTGACATGGAGAATAGTTCCAAGAGCTAAGCACACTAGGTTAATTAATGCTTCCATCTTTTCCCTTATAGATAAGGCTTTTATTATCTTTTTATGTTACTGGAAATAAATGTCATGAGGAAACATTGAAGCACTCAAATTACTTGTGTCCTAGTTCCCTGTGTAGAGTCAGCCTGGGCCTGAGTTGTCCATCCGTGTTCAACCTTTTCCATACATCATGTATTATATTGGTTTTGTTTTTCAAGTAACAGTATAGTATGTCTCAAATCTGTGGTTGATTTGGTGTTATCTTGCTAATTATTTAGATTTTTTTTATTTGAAATATTAAAAGGTGCTGGAGCTTTAATAATTTCTTAAAGGATATTATCATTTGAGATCCTCAAAATTGACAGGTGCTGTGAGAAGCACAGATTACCTTGTACGAATGTAAGTCATCTGTGTTCACCCAGGCTGTGTCGTAAGAAAAGCTAAGTCAACAGCAAATCATTGTATCAGTTTCATGATTTTTCCTTATTAGTATCCACCTGTTTTTCTCTGAAGTGGTTTTGAAAATCCTTTTAAAAATGACAAGAATGAGACTGTAAATACACTAAAAATATGAAAACTAGGTAAAGAAAAAAAAATAGTTCCATAGATTATACAAGAGGTTCTGGGTTCAATTCCTTGGACCATAAATAAAATTTAAAAGTAAAAGCTAATTAGGTACTTGTACTATAGAGAAAAAGTAGTTTCATTGAAATACTGTTAATTTAAAGCTTTAAAAAATTTTAAAGACTGGGGCATAAGTACCTGCTTGGAAAGTGCAAGGTCCAGAGTTTGATCCCTGGTACCGTGAAACCCTGGGCACACCGTGCTGGCCCAAAAACTGGGCATGGTGGCACATGCCTGTAATCCCAGCAGTAAGGGAAGCAGGGACAGGAGGAGCAGTACAAGTCTGAACTCTATGGCGAGACCCTGTATCAAAAAACAACAACAACAACAAAAAAAAAAAAAAAAAAAAAGGGAAAAGTTTTGTATGCTGTTAAATAAAATTATAGAGGATAATTTTTTTTTTTTTTAACTCACCTGGTTTTGTGCTTTCCTTTTGTTTTATGCTGGGTGATTTCCTCCTGTTCAGTGACATAAGCAGGGTAGCAGGAAGACCCTTAATTCCAGCTGCTGAGTCACATAGTAAGAGTAGCAAATCTGGCTTTCAATATAAAAGAAAACAAATTGGCTTATACTTTGAATGTATTATACTTTGTATATAGTATACTCTAAAAGTTACCTTCTCTTTTTGTTAAACCAAATTTGATTTTAAGATAATTTATAATTTTTAATTTAATGACATTACCTTAAACTACCAATTAAAAATATAAACCTACAAAAATAATAAAGTTAGCTTTTTCCTGCTAATAATTCTGAATTGTTAACTATATGTAATTCATTATCACAGCCAAGTAAAAATATCTTTCTATTTTAGCATTTCATGTCTGCTTTTTCTTTTTTTAGAAGAACTATTTATCTTGTCATTGTGACCAAATGGTAGTAATAATAAAAACCTAATGTTTTCTGTGTTCTTAGATGCGCAGAAAAATCATTGGCAGGCCTTAAAAGCAGAGAGATATCGAGGGGGGTAAAGAATGAAGAAAATAGAAGCTGAAGAGAAAAGTTAGGCAAAATCTCAGCTAACTAATGAGAAAGAAGAAAGGAAAGGCAGTGAGGGCGAGATGAAGAGGAGTTGTTTTGTCTTCTGCAAGGTAGCTTGATGTGAGGAGGCAGAGGCAGAGGGAGTAGCAAGTAATGGTCCAGAGTGTTTAGAGGAAAGCCACGAAGAGCAGTGGTAAGAGGAAGAGTGGCTCCCTAGAAATGGAGACGGGGACGCTGAGAGAGGATTAAAGATGAGCGGACAAGTGGCCGAGAGTATTGTAGGTTTTCAGTTGGAAACTTAAATGACCCAAGTAGAAAAGTTAGTCATCATTGTCATTTAATGTGGGGATTCTCTGTATGTTGCTATTGAGTTTTCACTTTGTGAACTACCCAAATAG